ATCATCCATCCATGGGCCTGCTGATTTCATTGGGGTAACCCTGGAAAAATTCTCCCTGGGCCTTCTGTCTTCATTCACTCACTCAAAATTTTTATTTTATTTTTTTAATTTTGACAAAATTTCAAGGAAAAGCTAGCAAGTAGAAAGAATTCTGATCTATCCTGTATTCAGATTCCCAAAGGTTATTATTTTACATTTGCGGTATTCTCTCTTCTCCTTTGGGGGGTATACACACAAATGAAATATATTTATGTACATATCTGTCTTTTCACCCATTGTGAGCAAGATGTTCCTTTACACCTACATACTAGCGTATATATCCCCCAAACAAGAAGCTCTTACATAAGCACGGTAGAGTCATCAAAATAGGGAAGTAACACAGATGAAATCCTATTACCTACTGGACAGACCTTATTCCCATTTCACCTGTTGTCTGAATGGTGTCCCTTTCAGCAAATGAGAATCCAGCCCCGTTTGTTGCCTTCTGTTGGGGTGCATTGTTAGACCCCTTTGATCTGGCAAGGTCGCTGTCGTTCTGTTTCACGACAATGGTGGCTTCTAAAGAATGCAGATCACTTTCGTAGGACGTTCCGCCTGGGAGCAGCTCTGATGTCTCCTTACCAGGAGATTCTGGTTGTGCACTCCTAGTAGGAACGTCACAGCAGTCGTGCTGCGTTCTCTCCATCCCGTTCCTGGCAGCCTTAGTAGCTTATGTTATGTGGTGTCTGCCAAGGTGCCCCACTGTGGAGTAATGTTTTACTGTTGGTAATTAGTTGAGTCCTTTGTAGGAAGATATTTTGCAACCACGTAAACAGGTCTTTATTTTTCAAGCATTCACCCTGGAGCATCGTTTATGATTCATGTCTGACCTAGTGTTGATGTGGTTGATTCTGAACAATGGTTTTCTATATGTATTACTTGGTTCTTATCTCTTATACGGTAGAGTTTCCCCTTCCCCTCCCCTTCATCCATTCATGTCAGCACATTCTGTAGATTCTTATAGTATTACTTGGTGGGTATAATTCATTACTATCATCATTTACCTTGATGATCAAGAGGTCCCAGATTTGATCAGTGAGAACCACTTCAAGCTGGCCGCTGTGTCTTTTGCAATGAATATTTCTAAGTCCTCACAACCACTAGATATCAGGAATTGGGGATACAGAGATGAACTAAGCAAAGGGAAAAGTTTCCCTGGCCTTGTGGAGCTCACCTTCTAGTTTGTGGAAGACAAATAATAAGGCAGTCATACTAACAAGCAACTGGTATATGGGCACTTGGGGGCATCACGTGTGGAGAGAAAGAAAAGCAGAGATCAGCCCTGGGTGAAGACTGTGTTGAATTACCAGGGCTTGGGCAGAGAAATCCTCACCACTGGGTATCATTTGAGCAAAGACCTGAAGGGCCTGAAGGAGCTTAGTGGTGTGGACATCTAGAGAAAACTCCGCCAGGCAGTGCCTGGCCTTCCAAAGCAGTAGCAATTCTACAAGGCAAGAGCAGGGGGGCATTTTTAGGAGATGACTCGGGTGGCTGGTTGAGGGTAGACTGTGTGGGAGGCAGCGAGGACGGGGCAGGAAGACCCGTTCCATTACCAAGGAGCCTCAGATGCCCAGAGCACCCATTCCCAGGGCACCGAAAGTTTTGGTGGAAATGTATATTGATACAAAGACAATTTATTGAATAAATAAATTCAGCCCTCTCAGGAAGCAGAATTCCTACAGAAGTAAGATCTGGCCATTGAATCATTCAGCTTTTTCTATCCCTACAAAGCATTTGACCCATGTGTGTGCGTGTGTGTGTGTGTGTATAGGAAAAAATATAAGTAGCAAAAGTTCCAGGCAAACATTTTTTTCAATCTCCATACCACTCAAGGGTGTGTGATGCGCCGATGTGGTTTGTATTTCGGTCCTGAAATCACTGCTGTTATTAGTTCACAGTTATTATTAGCTTTCAGCAATTTTAGGAAAACGTGTTGCCTTTTTTTTTTTCCTTTCTCCCAGCAGGGAGATCACACGGCCTGTCATGGATTATACAATGTGGGAAGATTTAAATACCACCTATGCTGTCCTTAGGAAGCTTCATCTGTGTCCACACCCAATTAAAGGCTTCTCTCCCCAGCCTCTGTCCTCAGATGTCCTGAATCTTTCTCCAGGATTTCAGCTGGACAACATTCCCTTTCCCTCTGTCCCCCTCATCTTGCCCTGGACTGTCACAGTGGTAAAGAGAGGAAAAGTCCAAGCTGGTCACAGAGATCAGGACCCTTGGAGTCAGAAGCGCAGGGTTATTTTTCAGCCATCACCTTGATCACTGCCTCTGTGACCTTATGCTGTTAACACCTGCCTCCACAGGTGTGTGAAGAGCTTTAATTAACATTTGTAAATCTACCTGCCTGCTACAAATAGACGGTGGCTGAAAAGGGCAGATTATTATTAATCATGGGGAAAAAATGGACAGATTAAGTTTTATTCCTTCACTGGAGAGAGACCGACACCCACGGATACTATTTTCATCATAGGAAGATTAAATATAAATCTTGATTGACTCACTTTGCACTCACAGAAATGCCCGATGCCTGTGACACGCAAAGCCCTACACTGGGCTCTGCCCCTTTCCCGGCAGGCTCTGCCTCTGACTCCCGCTGCTGTTTACGTTATTACCGAGAGGAGTCTCGCTATTCAGAATGAGAGTGAGAGTTCATCTAATTAGCTGATTTTAGTTCATTTGGCATTAAATAATTCCCCAAATTCCCATATGTTTGAACAATATGTTCAAGAAGGGGGCTGGTTCTCAGAAAGCAATTAAGTAGTTCTTTTAGGAGAGCTTGTCATTGGTCACTCATAAGCATCCCTGCTCTTCCCGTCCATGAAGAATGCAGGCAGCAATTACACAGAGAGCACTTAACCCTCTCCAACGACCGCTGGTCAGCACCCACGCGCAGGCCACCACTTCACGCTGCTGACAGTACACATCCGAATTGTAAGTTTTTTTGACACCTCAAGTGCAGTGGAACATCCATAGTTGATCACCTGCCTACGTTGACCTCCTCCTCAGGTTGACCTAATTTTCACGGAGAGGACATGCACCACGTGAACGGTCAGTACTCATACTGGCCTCCGTCCTTGGGTTGCCCACCTCTGTATGTTACCCAGTTCGTTAGTCCCTTGGGTGGTCAACTTACAGAGGTTTCACTGTGTATCGTTTTAGGCTTTTCATAGAGCGTTTGCAATTGCTAGTTCACAGCTTTCCAGTCGTCCTGCTTAAAGGGAAATGCAGACATGTGCCCGGCTTAATCTGTGTTTGGCTTGGTAGGAAGAATTGTCATTTTTGGACTGGTGATCACCCCAGCGGAAGACTGAGGTTTTTGAAGCATTTCCAGGGCTGCCTGGGGCGGGAGGGAGGCGACCTCAGGTCGTAACCTCCACTCTTTGGGGAGATGCTCCTGTTCATCTACGTGGCTCAGCTTTTACGGCAGCAGCAAATTATAGATAATGAGCTCGAGTGTGACCGTTATTGGAGAGCAAGGGGAGACGTCAACAAAGGCAGTTCAGAAATGAATAGCACGTTCCAACCGTGTTCTTCAGCCTTTTCTGTTTCACAGCACTCTTGAACCTGTAGTTAAACTTCCACGGCGCACTTAAATTATGTTGATCAAAAAAGAGCACCCAAAAAGAATATACTTACTGTGCTTTGAACTTCTTTCTAAAAATAATTTAACTAATTATCTTTGAAACTTTTTGTGGCACACTTAAGATCCTTTCATGGCACACCGGTTGATAATCACTGGATTAGATGTACTCACTTATAAAAGCTGTGTGTTTATATAAAATGATGGGAAAGGCAGTATCTTTTAGCACTAAATTTCGCGTTCATATTGCCCATGGGGTTGCTTTCTTTGTCAGGGACAGCATATTTAAATGTTCTTCCTAAATAGAATGAGCGAGGGCTATGGTAATAACACCCATCTTAGCCCTCAGGTGGCACTGCGTGTCTGTGAGTCCTGAAGTGCTCTGTTGACTGTATTCAATATCATCATATTTCTTAAAAGTGAAAATCCAGCAAACAAAACCAAATCAACTTGCTTATTGAAGAACTCATGCAGTTGGGGGGAAATAAGTGGACTTCTGGGTCTGTCTCACGGGTCGCATCCTGTAGACCAGCCCTGCCTGCTGTTTGGGAGCAGAGATTAAAACATGAGCCAAGAAAAGGAAAGGTGGAGGGGTGTGGTGAGGTGCTCTTATTTCCCTTCAGTTGAATTCCACTTTCTTTTATCTGTCGCATGACTCTGCATTCCCGTTGTAAATAATCCACAATAGAGAAAAATCTGAACCCCAGTTCTAGGTGGAATGATGTTAAATTCAGATCTAAAACAAAAGAGTTGAAGGATGCATGTTTATGTGTTTTATCATGCACATTTATAGCTGTCCACAGTTCTGTTACTATATAACCTGGGTATTTATTTGTGCATTGACCAAAACCAAATGTTTTCAAAGCCAGGATAGACACACTTGCTCCATGTATGTTTAAGTACTGTTTAGTTTCATAATAGTCCGTTTTATCATTTAATAGCATTAAAATCAGTGTAGAATGTGTTGTTAGGTAAAAGGAATATGATGGTCCTAAGTTGATCAGGTAATTCATTTTTGTAAAAGTCTTTTTTGGTCATTGATAATGTTATTAACAAGAATATGGATTCGGCAGCTGGTACGTGGACCCACCAGCCAGGGCTTTGAGCTCTCCCAATTCTGCCCTTTGCAGAGACACCTTTGTCATTTTGTTCGTTTGTTTGCAGAAATTTGAGGTCTAGGCTTCACCTCACAGTGCGCCTAACAAGTTCTAGACACATGCTCCTTCCCCAGACCAGAGCTTTGTGACATGGCGCTACCCAGAAGGGAATCCCAGGAAGGAGCTGGACGAGCCTGAAGAAAACTTCCGTCTGTAACTTATCACAGATGCCCTGCCCTTGACACACTTCTGATTTCACTCCTTTTCCAACTGTGCAGCCTCCAGTCTGATGGGTCTGAGGTGCTTCTGAGTCCTGAGGTCACCTGTGGTCCTCCAGACATGATCGTCACCACGCCCTTTGCGCTGACTATCCCACACTGTGCCGACGTCAGCTCTGAGCACTGGAATATCCATCTGAAGAAGAGGACCCAGCAGGGCAAATGGGAGGTGAGACTCAATTCTTCCTTTTAAACAATAGGATTAGGATAATCTATCCATGGAATGGATTGAACCGTAACCTCTCTTAATCAGCATTTTCTTGTTTTGCAAAGGGCTGATAGCGAATGTTTATAACATCCTTCAGGGTGTTGGCTAGTGTGTTTTTCCCATGGTAATGGAAAAGAGCGACCAGGGAGACTCCAGAGATTTTCAGTTTGGTTTGAGAATAAGGCTGTTTTAACCTACACAGTGCTGTCCACTGTGGACCTGGTCACTGAGTCCCTTCACTTCCTTCTAGGCCGTGTCCCTAGTCTGTGGCCTCTGGCAGGCTGGCTGTGTCCATGAAAGAAATCCCTGTATCTATATTTGTCTGTCCTGGATGTTAGGACACATCTATGGTTACAGGAACACAACAGGTGGTTGATATACGTGTGGTGAGTTAATGAATGCATTGAGAATTATGATCAGTGTCTGTTTTCATGGCTGTAAGTACATGCAGAACGGATGCAGTATACAGAAAAAGAGACAAGGAAAGAAAATGAGGATCCCGTAAGGGAGGTTCCCGACGAGGGAGACAGTCACAGCAAAGAAAGATTGCAGTTGAATTACTCTTCTGAGGGCGAGTTCTGATTTATCTGTCTGATAGGGCTCCCTTTATGTCCGTCTGAAGTCGGTTGGCCTGAAAGCAGCTGAGTTATCTTGCTGCAGCACAATGACCTATCCCAGCCAGCCCTGGGGTCTTGCCTCCTAGGAGGTGCTTTAGGAAAACCAAGTAAAAGGAAAATCGTGTTTCTTTAGAAGAAGAAAATTCCACTTGCTGCCATAGATTATATTGGCTCTGCCCAACTATGTTGAAACTGGTCTGTTGTCTTTGTTCTGGAAGGCATGCTGCTACTATTCAGTCCTCCCACAGCCACAGGCGGATTTCCATGAATTTCACAAAGGGCCGGGTTTTGGTCCCTTCCCATTATGTTTGGTTTTGCCTTGATTTTTGCCATTTTGGGTTTTCTTCCTAGCACTTCCTCATAGTCTTCTACACCTAGATGGTGTTATATTTCTATTCTTCTAAACCAGTCTCACATACTGAAGTTCTTATCAGGGAGGGTAGAATATTCTAGCACATCTTATCCAAATCATTTATCCCAGTGGTCCCTTGTGAATAATTTTGAGGGAATTAAAGAAGATAAAATGTTTGAGAGAAAATAAACATTACCTAAGGATAGCTAAAGAGTTTTCAGAAATACTCCTTTGTTAAATAAAATAAGTTTGCTTATGCACATTAGCATTCAAGATTTTATTAACTCAACATTGAGCAAAGTAACCACAAATAGAATTTTTAACGTGATTTTTGTTGTTATTACCCATTATGTGGGAATTCTAACACTTTGAACATAATAATTTCTTGAATTCTTGATGTAAGTAGTTAATTTGATAGAAGAGGAATGAATATTTAACATCAAGATAATTAGGATAAAAACACTTAACCAGTAATTTTTTTCATAGTATTGTTAATTTATTTACGTCCTGGCAGTGTAATGCTCATATTGCATCTTATTTCTGAGCTGAGAGAATTTAACATGGCGGTTTCCCAACAGGAAGTGATGTCAGTGGAGGATGAATCCACATCCTATTACTGCCTTTTGGACCCCTTTGCATGTCATCTGCTCCTCGACAGCTTTGGCACCTATGCCCTCACTGGAGAGCCAATCACAGACTGTGCTGTGAAGCAACTCAAGGTGGCGGTTTTTGGCTGCATGTCCTGTAACTCCCTGGATTACAACTTGAGAGTCTACTGTGTGGACAATACCCCTTGTGCTTTTCAGGTATGCCTTCGTTGCATAATTCTTCTCTCGGTGTCATGAAAGTATGGGCTTCCTGAAGATCAGTAGCCGTAGAAAATTCTTCCGTGGAGAGTCTGGAGAGTAAACCTGCCCGCCTGGCTTGCCTGGGATACCGATCTCAAACAGGAGTCTTGTTCCTGTGTGTCCGGCAAGGCAAGAGGGGCTGAGGTTTTCGGCAGTCCAGAATAGAGAAGGGTTGAATGAGCATATACAGAGATCATTGGATGATGAATTGTGATACCAGTGACAACTGTAGTCAGAATTCCGAAAACAAATACCCAAATGCAGTAAGCAGAGATGGGGAAGAGTTTCTGAGAACCGCTTAGAAGCTTTCATAAATGGGTATGATTCAGAAGCAAAGAGAAAGGGGGACCATGTAGGAAAATGGGCCCAGGAGGGTGGTTCACACCTGTCCTCCTAACACTCTGTGAGGCTGAGTGAGAGGACTGCTTGAGGCCAGGAGTTAGAGACCAGCCTGAGCAAGAGGGACGCCTTGTCTCTACTAAAAATAGAAAAATAAGCTGTGTGTGGTGGCAGGCGCCTGTAGTCCCAGCTGCTCCGGAGGCTGAGGCAGAGGAATTGCTTGAGCCCAGGAGTTTGAGGTTGCTCTGATTGATGCCACCACACTCTACCCAGGGTGACAGAGCAATCCTCTCTCTCCAAAAACAAAAGAAAAAAAAAGGAAAATGGCCTGAGCCACAGGAACAAAAATAGTCATTTTCTGTGCAGAGGGCATTGAGAAAATTGCCTGTGTCAACTGAAGGTTGTAGTTAGGAAACAGTTATAAATCATGCCTATCACCAGGTCGTCATTTTATATCCTGGACACATAGTCTATTAATTATTACGGCTACTAGGGCAGAGCTGGTTCAAGGTTCCTTTCCATTTTGGGTACTTTTAATCATGTAAGATTCATTTTAAATTAGCTGCTCACGAAGAGTGCAAGTTTATTAATAGCAGCCGGATGGTGTGAGATGCCCATGTGAGCCCTGCCCATATATAAATAGCGCAGCTCTCCTGACAGACCTCATTCCCAATCTCTGCTGTCCCAGTCTTGGGTCGTTAAGTCCGTTATGCAGAGCATTTCCTCCGTCACTAGATTTTAAGACACTGAGCTGGAAAATTCATGTTTACCAATAGAAAAGATACAATGACCTGAATTCTGAAAATAAGCCAGGCAGGTGACATGGTGCCAGCCTGTGTTCCCCAAGCCTGCCCCCTCCCCGACTGTCTCTGCAGCAGCGCAGGTCATTCTGAAGGGCACACACGCTTCAGTCTTTGGCTGCTTCAGATCGGGGCTTCTCTGAGAGGTATGCCCTTTTGTAGAGGAAGGAGCTTCAGGGTGAGGAACTAAAACCTCATCCTGTGATTGCCATTCTATGCTCATCATCTGCTCCCCCACACCCAATGAGAGGAGTTTTCCAGTGGATAATACACAGCAGTCAGGCAGGAATGAATGTCTGAACACAGAGGTTTGTCTCAGGGTCCCGAGCCACTGCTCCATGTAGAACCCACCTGGACTCCAGTCGGGGCTTCAGTGACTCAGCTGGATTCCCAAGGCTGAGTAGACTGGAGTCGCCATGGGGGATCCTGGAAGATTTCCAGCCCCCAGCTCATGCAGATAACCCCCTGCCAACTGCTGTGAGTTGTTCACACAACTTGGACGTCAGCCCTTGTAACCAGTTCGGAGTTTTCTCTGAATAACGCTCTCACTGCCAAAGCAAATAGCGGCAATAGACATTTACCTAAAGACTTTCTTCTTAGTGAGTTTCAGAGAATCTAATTTCATTCCTGTCCACTGCTTCCGCATCTTACCAGCTCAACTATTCACAAAAGAGGAGAAATTACTCCTTTTCAGACCACTCTCCATTTCGGTTTCTAACCTCTCCTTTTTTGTAATTTTCTTAATAATTGTTTATTAAAGCATAACTGTACATTTATGCATTTGTAGGGTACATGTGCTGATTTTATATACAATTTGGAATGCTGACATCAAACTGGTTAACACAGCCTTCACCTCTCTTACTTAATTATTGTGTTAAGACATTTGTACTCTACTCTTAACAGATTTGACACGTACCCTTGCAATATACACCATAGGTGAGGCCCCCCTGATTACCATCTCTCCACCTGCCCTCTCCCTCCCCTCCCCCTTCTCTTCCCTCCTTCATCCTGGTCTATAGTTGTGTTTTGT